ATTGTGAGAGTATATGGTATCTTACTTGCATGCTTCTGAAGTTTACCTGGCATGCTTCTCTCATTTGCGTGGCCAGAAGGTAAGCATATCTTAGGAACAGAAGGCTTTGGGGTATGTGGAAGAAGCTTTCAATTTTTGCCTTTGTCTATATATATTTTTAGATTCCATTTTTTTTAACAAACCTATTCTGATCTTTCTTCCTAGTTGTCATATGGCAGGTAAAAGAACTCTTATTATCGGTAATCATGGGTATTGGATGTTAGATTTGGTGGCATTTGTATCATAAACTAGAAAAATAAAATTTTATGGTTTTTGGATATGTTCTTACAAACTGTCAAAAGTAATAAATGACTAATATTTTCCTGACATTTATTTAGTAACCAAGTCCAAATAGTGACAGATCTATCTTCTTTGTTCCTCCTTTTCCGTAAGATTTGTAAAGGTAAGAAAACTTCTCGGGTTGTGAGAAGTGATGTTTTTAAATTGGAGTAGCCGAGTGATTAAGATAGTTGAAAAGAATTTGGTTTAGTCTTCTTCTAGAGACACGGTGCTGTAATGTATAATGGAACGGATGGATCCCCTTATGTAAGAGTGGAAAGATTGTTCCATTTAGCCTACGTATATGACTTATTAGGCTTTTTAGGATTTGGTGGTTCAGAGTTGGGGAAGAGTGATTGAGGATAGGATTGTGGAACCTTGCCAACATTTGTTGGACTTTTGTTGATATGTGTATTGGCTATAGCAAGTAATATGTTGTCTGGATGTATGGGATCCTGAACTTTGGTTATTTCTATTTTGGAAGAAATGGTAGAATGATGGTACACCGTGTTTTCCCTTGTAATTGACTAGTTTACATACATTGAGGTCATTTAATTTGCATACAAACTAGCTTCTTTATTACCAAAAATGATTTTCACTCTGAAGTGTGATCTTTACTCATAAAGGAACCAAATAATTTTTATCTTAAAAATGGTTGCTGGGTATGAGCCCCTGATGAATTCCAAGTTTATAAGTTCATCCTTTAAAGTTTTTTTGTTATTTAATAAAAAAAGAAGCAATCTCGTTTCAATATACTTGTTATTTTTGGTGCATTTTGTTGTCTGTCAACAGTAATGCCAATATTCTGGGTACATTTGTTGTTTCATTTGTGTATGTTTGTATTGTTTCAAACTTCATTGTTTGGGGCCATCCTTGGAATGTTAATGTTGTTTCATGCTTTATTAAAAAATTCTCAATATTTGTTAAATGCTTACTTGATATCATCTAATGTTCATCACAAGGTTGATATGTTGCTTAAATATTTTAGTTCTTTTTCAAGTTTGGTAGAGGCTGATTAGTAGTGGGCATGCATCTTCATGTTTTAATGGTTAGATTATTAGCCATCCACGTCTTTTTTTATTTTCCCTCTTGCCTTTTATGAGCTTAGTATTATGTTTTCTAATTATCTCTAAAATGGTGGTAGCCACCTAGATAGCAATGTAATGGTGGTGCATGAAGTACATTGTCGGGAAATGTGTGTTTCTCTATATTTGTCTAAGCATACAAATGACTTTGAGAAATATCTTACATCAAGGTTAAATGATCTCTAACAACTTCCTTTTATATAAAGGACCTTCATATATATGATTGGATATTTATCTAATTGGTCTTTTAATTACTGGACCTAGATTACCATTCTTCTTGATATATGTTGTATTATTTGTTTATTTCTGCATTGTGCATAGTACTATCACTATGTTTTTATGAGTTTAGATGATATATGCATTTCCTAAGGAATTATGTGATTGTTTTGAAGAATGGTAGTATGCTCCCACATACTTTTGGAATATGCGATCCCGTTATTAAGAATTTTTTTTGCTTAGCTTAGAAGAAGTATGGAATCATTGTTAAGAGTACTGTTATATTTTTGCAGAGGTATATTAGCTCTGATGAATTCATGGGATTCATTGAAGATGGCATGACTTTATTTTTGCTGCATCTATTCTTGTTGCTAGTTATATTTATGCCTTTGAAACTGTTAATTTGTTTTAGTGAAAGAATTATAGCTATAATAAACAGAATAGGAGCCAACTACAGTTTTTTTCTTTTTTTTTTTTTTAACCCTCTCCCTATTATCTTAGTAGTTTATTTGATTGAGATTGGAATGTTTAGACTAGTACTATATATTTAGATTAATAGCTTAGGTTCTGCTGGCCTCTTTCTTTATACTGAAAAGACATTGCAACCTTTTGCACCTACTGATAATGTTTTTTGGTTTTATTACCTCAGAAAGCTATCTATTTTTTGAGTTTTTACGTGTTTGACCATATCTGAATTCTTCCGATTTGCTGGTTCTCTCCATTTTTCCAAAAACAGAGATATTGCAAGTTCTTGTTTATCATAGTCATGGTTTTACATTCCCAAGTTGTCTTCTTTCATATTATTGAACAGAATTCCTCTTAACACTCTACAACTGAAGTGATGCTGTCTGTATTAAAGCTTCTCTTAGAATGTGAAATATTGTTTATGGATTTTGTAACTTATTTACAATAATGTGCTAACCTTATTGTGTACAAGTTGGTCAGGATTTATTTCTTTGAGATGATAAGAAGTTTGCCAGGTAGTCATTGCCGTCACAAGTTGTGGATGCTCATCGAAGAAGATATATGGTGTGTCAGCTTATTAGTGTCAGTAATTTTTAGGAAATTGAACTGGAAACTCGAATGTTCAATATTTGTTGTGTGCAAGGTACTTGGTCTGTGGTGCTTGGCCATTCTGGCCATTTTTGTTTGTGTTCAAGCTTGTTGCCTAATTCTTATATTGGATTTACAACAAACAAATTCTTTGCTGTGCGTTTCTCTCTTTTTTTTGTTTTTTTCGTTTTTGTGATTGTTATAGAAATTCAGCATATGATACTCGAGAAAGAGATGTGGCGGCTTGACTTAAATTTCATTTACATTTGTTGATTTGGTCGAACATAAGTTGGGAATCTGCCTTTAGTTTGTGACTAGGTTTATAAAAGGTCACACTGTCCACTAAAGTTGGTATTATGTTGGATTGACTGTGCACTACACCCTCCATTTAATGGCAGTCCTAAACTGCACTTGCTTTATAAATAGCGTTTGCGTCATGTTTTTCAGTTGCTTTATAAATAGCGTTTGCTTCATGTTTTTAATGTCAACATTTACCTCTTTGCAAAATGCACAGCATATATCAAGCATAAACAATATGGAAAAATTTCCACTATAGAGCATTGGCTTGAAATATCATCTGTCATACTGTTGAAGAAGATTTTATGTTGTTCTCATGATCTCATCTCAAGGAACAGCGAAACCTTAATTGACAATCTGGTAACTGGTAAGTCACATTCGCAAAACTTTAACAGCCATTTAATTGGTATGAGATATAGGTTTAATGGAGAATGTTTGGATGGTAAATTTTACTTCATTTTCCTTTGGAAGTTTGGATTACATATGTGCAAACGTCTCATTATTTATTTTTTTAAATCTAAGATTAGAAACTGTCTGATTGATCTCACTCATGTTTCTCTAGCTTGTGTTGAATTCTTCAGCCAATGAAGTATCCCCACTGTCTTGCAATAGATGATCCAAACGCATTAACACAGGGCACAGAGCGCAGACACCTAATTGGTGAACGCAGAAAAGTTTACTTCAAAACCAGTTTGTGTTATCAAACTTACGATTGGATCAATCGTGCACTAAAATGAATCAAGTTTACATAAGTGAGATTTATGAATATGATCACTTTCTAGCATAAAATTTGGAAACAAAAGGGTAGCATGTGATATCTCATTGGAGAGTAACATATACGTCCTTAAATGTATCGCTGAGAACTGTAATCTCACAGAGTTCAAATGAATTAAATTTGGTTTTTTATTAACTCAGAAAATGAAGTTGACTATTGTATCGGACTAGGCAACATTAGAGTTATTCATTTTAAATTTTAATAAGCAAATACAATATAAATAAACCACTTTTCCCACCCAAGTTTTGCATCAATGACACTTTTCTACTCAAAAAATTTCAAAATATTATTTTCCTACCCAACGTTTATATTCCGTTAATACTCAAAATACACTTTACTTTCTCGCTTAGCGTTCGACGAGTTACCAAAAGTCAGGATAAGAGAGTTTTTGTAGAGTAGAGGTCGATGGATTGAATGATGGTAACCAATTGAATATTCGTCATTGGAATCAGTTAGAAATCATCAATGGAAAACCTAGCAATGGATTAAATAGTGGTAACCAATTGAATATTTGTCGTTGAAATCAATTGAAAATTATAAATAGAAAACCTAGCTTTGCGGTGGTCAACAATCGACGAGAAATCAGATGTCGGTGTGAGTAGGATTTTGTAGAGATGAGACCGAATGTTCAAATGGTGGTAATTGAGAGAATTTTCGCCACCATAATCCGCTTTAGGTAGCAGCAAAATATTAACTTTGGGTGGGAAAGTGGTATTTTGAAACTTTTTGAGTAGGAAAGTGTCATTAAAGCAAACCTTGGGTGGGAAAAAGTCATTTACACATATAAATATCGTGCTATAAGGTGGTGGATTACATGCTATAATTTGTAACATATAACATATTTAATGAGAAATAATAAGATAACACACTATAACAACTTTAAATTATTTATTTAAATTTGAAATAATAATTATCAACTCATAGATATAAAAGAGAAATTAAAGATGATTATTTAATGTTGATTCATCACTTTTAAAATCATTAGTCCAAATTGACGCGCAAATGTAAATCCCTCACTTATGTTACTTCAGTTAATTGGGTAAACACAATTTTAACACCGAGGTTTTTTTAGTACTTTCACGAATCATGGGACTGGGATACTTGAAAATTGAAATTGCTTCATCCCTTGTTATGATGGATAATAAAATTATAAAAATCGTTTTTTTTAATGAAATATATACATTAAATAATAACATTTGCAAATCTAAACTCATCAGTTGTTATAACCCAGTGGTAAACTTCTGGAGAATCATCTTTCAGGTTTCGGATTCGAATCCCGTCAGCGCACTTTTTCTTTGTTATTTGTTTTGTTTTGCCTTCTTCAACGCCATGAATCAAGATCCAGACAAGCCCTCACCTACACCTAGAAAGGTTCGTTAAAAATCTCTTAAGAATTTCCTCGATATCATTTCACGACTTCCAATTTCACCACAATTTCAAATTCAAATCTCCATTTCAGAAAACCTTTGCAAATTTCATCCTCTTTTTTAACTCCTGAAGGTTAAGTACGCTCCCAAAGCTCCTCCCACACCTTCCCGAAGCCGACAGCCCAAACGCCCCGCTCCCGAGACGTAACTCTCTGCTTCTTCTTTCTTTGTTTTTCCAACATTAGTTTGATTTTCATTTCTGTCTTCAATTATTAAATTTGATGTTTGAAGTTAAATTTGTTGTTGTTAATGTGATTTAAATGCAGTGAATTAAAAAATGAAGACGGTGAAGAGCAGGCCCGGCAACTCATGCGCCAATTCACCGTACGTACTCGAATAATTTCTTGGCCCCTTTTTATACATTTATTTTTATTTTTATTTTCAACCGCTGTTATTTTTATATTTATGTGTTTCCTTTTTCATTAGTTCCTCGCGTAAAACTATATAGTTAAAATATTATTCATATCTTGAGAACAAGGATGTGTTTGGGTACTTGTTCATTCTTTTTGTCATCAAGTTAAAATAGGTTTTCAATTTGTAACTAATGATTTTTATATCATTTGTTTTGAGATCTAAAAAGTTTGGATAAAGTTTAGAAACATATAGAGTATTATCATTATTATTTTTTAAATGCGGCCATGTGCTCCTTTATATCTTCTAAGAATAAGGAAAAGATTATTGTGCTTTGAAGGATCTAAATTGCTTATCTATTTTCCTACAAAATTCTACGAAGTAAACATAATGGCTGAACATTTTTTATTTTTTTTATTTTTGGTATTGACTTATGGGAATGATAATAAATGGAATTTGTCACTAACAATTATTATATGTTATGACTAATGTTAATTGTGAATTAGCATGTTTGGCACGAGATGAAAACATTTTATTATTCTAAAAAGATTATAATTAATTTGATATTAAATTGTAGTCGTGTTACAAACTTGACATTGTGCTTAAATACAATTCCATTTATAAACTATGTTCTTTTTTTGGCGAGTGTGAGTTTATAAGATGGCTAAGAGATTAAATTCCAGTTCTTCGGTATGATGTTAAGAGACCTCCTTAGCTATGGTAGCTGAGACTTTAATTTGCTTATTGTTTGATTTTTCAAAGATTAAACAAATTGAAGGCAGGAAAAAGAAAAGGGTTTGTTTTAGATTCATTATGCTTTGAGCATTTTTTCCATGTCCAATTATCTGTAAGGAATACCTTTTAATGGCATTGTGTGGCTAAAATGCCATTGGGGCTGACTTGTTAAATGGTGCCCAGGAGGTGACTCCTAAATCTTTTCAGAATGCAATAATGAATGGTTTTTACTTTTATTGTACTAGCATTTCAATTACATATTTTGATGTGCCATTTTATTCACGTTTGTAAACTCCAAGTGATGATTAATATATTTGTTATTTACAGGAAGCAAATGCAAGGCAAGTGCCCAAAGTCGAAAAGAAAGGTAATATTTCTTTTGCTGGTCACCTTTTGTTTTTTTCTTGATAATTTGTCAGTCTTCATAATTAGTTAGGTGAATATGACTAGCTGTACTATCTTCCTTTTGCATAGAAGGAAAGACTTTTCACTGGACGGCTAAGCATTTCGGTCTCTTTATGAATTTTGTGATTAACTGATTATATAGCTGATTGATTTACCATACTATGACTTGATTGACTGCGCCAGTTTCTTCATAATTCCAACTCCTGTTTATAAAATTCAATCTTCTTAGTGTGATTGCAAAAAGGAAAGTGTATTTGCATCAGCTAATTTTCTATGATTGGAGTTCAGACTCTTGCTTTGGATATACTGCACTAAATAAGCACACTTGTCCCATAGTTTTGCTATCTTCAGAAGTCAAGGAGAACGTATTGCTGTCTCTCGCACTACACCCTTTCTTATAATTTAAATTTTAATCTAAATGTTTGCAATAACAGCCAAAAATGACTCTAAATCTAAGCAATAAATATACACAATTAAACTGGGGCATTTTAAAGTACCAAATAGATGATTAGGAATGATAGAGTGTCTAATTATCGTAATTGTTACTGCTGTGATCTGCATACTTACATTTAGAGTTCAAACCTGCATCTTCAGTGCAAATTGCATTTGATGCTGGGGCCACATCATCAACTTCCATCAGGACATATGGTAATCCAAAGGATGGTAATAGTGCAAAAGCTACTGACTCAATGTCAAAAGATTCTGCTTCTGATGATATGCAAATTGTCGGTTTCTTGCCATCAACTGCCAGAGAGAATGAAACTGTTCCCTATTCTTCATTTGCATCAACTCAAAAGATCGAGAAAGACTACACAGAACCTTGGGTAAGAAACTTTTCCCTTGCACCTCTTTCTCTCTCATTATCTCTCTCTCTCTCTCGCACTAAGATCAGGTTTCCTGATTGCATTGCAGGATTATGAAAATACTTACTATCCAACTACACTTCCTTGGCGGAAGCCTCCCCCTGGTAACCCAGGTATGCTTTCAGATGCATCTAATATCTGTCACTATATTAGAGGTGTCTAATACTCCTTGGAAACTAATAAACAAGTGTCCTCATCATCCATGATAACTATTCTAGATTCTCATGCATGAATTGACTAGTAATTGGGTCATTTTTAGGTGAGTGCGTGACTCTGTTGGCCCTTATATTGCTGACTTTGTTTGTTCCTATATATAATGTAAGAAGTTGGAGATACAACAATATGATTGTATTCTGCCAATACATCAGAGACATTTTATATGTTCTCAGTTTGGCTGTTTTGTTCAATAGCATTAGATATATGTATTCATTCTTTAGGATGCTCAAGTGTAAAAGATGGGAAACTTTGTTTTAGAAGTTCGATTCTAAATATGTCACAAATGGGGCCTGGGCTAATGATTAATCAGTGTTCTCAAGTCCACAGGTTCTACAGGGAAAATATAGCACCGCAAGCCTATATGTGTTTCTCATTCTTTTTAAGCACATAATGCTTGATTCATTTTGCTCACTTTGCTTACAGAACTTCGTGATGAGGAAGAATTTGGGGAGGCTGCAAGAAACGTTGAGTATGATGAGAGTACTATTAATTCTGCTTCTGATCTTCAGTTGCTGGTTGGTAATCAGATGATTAAGTTATTAAAATTATGTCGAGCTCTTACCAATTTTTTTATATGTTTGACAGAATATGTTGCTCAAATTTGATGACAGGAGGAATCCCAAAGAGAAAGAATGATGTTCTTTCAACTTCCCACTACTCTGCCCCTAGTCAAACGATCAGCCAGTGTGAAGGGAAAAGAGAGAGCTGAAAGCTCAAAAGCATGGGGAAGAGTCAATGCTCCAGAAAGAGGCTGCGGTTTGGAAGACTTGCCAGGGGGATATATGGGCAAAATGCTGGTTTACAGGAGTGGAGCAGTCAAGTTGAAGCTAGGGGAAACCCTGTACGATGTAAGCAAACCACAAGCCTTCTTTAACTGAAAAACATGTGAGCACAGTTGTATGCTAAGCTAAACTGTTTGCAGGTTTCACCTGGATCAGATTGCTCATCTGTTCAGAATGTTGTGGCAATCAACCCAAACGATCAAAACTTTTGCGTTCTAGGAGAACTTGATAAAAGAGCTGTTGTAACTCCAGACATTGGTTCCATCTTCAATAATGTGGTTAACTTGGGATAATGTGAGATTGTTGCGGGAACTCTCAGCATGATGGACGTGGATGAAGAAGACATGTGGGAAATATGCTCAGACTTGTATGTAAAGTCATTTGTAACCAGAAGTACAGTGATGGTAACTGAATAGCCTGTGAAGCTGCTATAGAGATTCATAGGATGTCATTCTTCTTGACCCATATTTTGTGGCAGACCAAAATTTCAAATTGAAGAGAACAAACTTCCTTCTAATGGAAATTCATATGCTTTTCAAACAAAATTGTAAAAATCAGCAAAGACAAAGAGAGTAACATTATAAAGGCTTTCCATTTCCTTTAACATGAAGCACATAGTTTTTTTTATCAGAATACTAAAAATAATTCTTTAGAAAAGGTCAAAAACTCACACCCTCTACAGTGTAAAATCTCTATATAATGATATTTTATGTAGGAATCATAAAAAATTCAAGTCTTAATTTAGGATAATTATAAATAAAAATAAACTCCACATTATAATAAGTTATAATTTTTTTAATTCATGTTTTAAGAAATTTGTCTCTATATTGTAAAAAAAATTTGTTATATTACATTAAAAGTTTAAGATAAAATAAAATATTTATATAAAATAAGAAATCAATTAATATTAAAAGTAAACAAAAAATTCTAAAACTACTAAGACAGTAAATTGAAATCTTAATACATACTATTAAGATATGAATTATAAAATCAATAATTAAATCAATAATTTTTTAAACTACACGTCTATTAAAATATAATATTTTTTTATCATAATAATTTAGTTTGATTCTACCATTATAGTTATTAAGAGATTTTACTCGTAGTTAATAAATCAAATGAAAGCTCCTTGCATGCTGGATTTTGCTAGGAGGCGTGTAGGCAACTGACTTTTAAAAACCCCGCGTACTCTCTTAACAGATCTTTCTTTAATTCCTGATGCTCCCGGGTCTTAAATGGCTCTTTCTTTCCTATTTTTAAAACAACTTGGATTGCAAGAAACCTAATCGAAGCTGATTTCTCCAATCAAAACTCATAATACAGGAAACCCCCTTCACGTATAAATAACGCCAATGCCCTTAAGCCTGTTGCGATTTGGACTAATCTAAATCATAATCAACCAATTAATCACAACAAAAATCAAGAACAAACAAACACACAAGAGTTTACCGTGATTCATTTGCTTAAGATTTGAGCAAACTATGTCTATGTTGAACTCCAAAATATCAAGACTCGCTGCATTAAGAAGATTAATATCATTTACAGAGAACAATTTCATATTTTCAAACACTATTTAACTCACTTTGCTAATCTACTATTCAACTCTTGTACCATAACCTTTAAACCCAAGAGAAAGACTCCCTAAACTTCTCTATCCGTTAAGGAAACACCACCTTTACTCAATAACCCAATTGATTGTACTAAGATTACAAGAATTAAAGTAAACTAAAGAACTTAGCAAAGTAGAATTTTACAGAGTCGAAGAAGAGAAAAAACTGATTTGTTCATTTTAGTTTTAATTGGAGAGCTGACCTCTTTTATGCCTTTTAACTTTTCAGGGAAATTTTAGTGATTAGATGAACCTTGAATCAACCATCAGGATTGCATAAAGTTTGGACCAAAACGGCAGTGTTAGACTTAAACTTATGTGGCTGTGGTTTTTCGGAGGATTGGAACTAAAAAGAGATTTCGGTATGAGAACAAAGACTCCGATCAGCATGGTGGATGGATTATGCACGAGTATAGTTTGGATTCGTCTTTGCTGGGTCCGGATCATTATAAGGATTACGTGGTTTGCCGTATAAGAAAGAACCAACCAGCTCTGAAGAAGAACAAAAGGGGAAAGTTTGAAGAAGTGGATTCTGAAAAGAAGAACAAGAGGAGTAAGGTTCAAGAAGTGGATTCTGAATCACCACCCCTCGCAGTACTGCCGGCTTACAAGCTCCTCTAACACACCACCACTACCATGGTGCTACAACCATTAGAACTTGATAATGAAGGGGAGTTTTATAATGATGAAGAATTTGATTGGCCCGCCAATTTCTGAATGAAAATCAACACAATGACTCTCAACTTCCCCAGCATTAATGATATCTTTGAAGTTGAAGAGCCCTCACTCAACTCAAGATTTTTGTATTTGATTTTGTATTTTTACATATTTTTATAAGGATGATTAATCTGAGTCCTTGTATTTTACATATTAACGGCGAAGTACAGTAGTTCAGTTTGTTCTCGAATTTTCGTTTGTTATTTAATAGTTAAACTATTTTTAAGTTCTATTAAAAAATTAATTTAAAAATTATGATTAATCTATTTATTAAAATCGGCCACATCGATAAATACAATGTAAGTGTGTTGAGAGTCACTAAAGTACACCGATAAATGATATTAGACCCATAAAAAATTGTAATAAATAAAGTTATTACTGTATCACAAGAATTACAAATCACTTTATATAAATAAGTTAAATCCCGTAACTAATATTATAGAATTTAATAACCTCCTTAAGTAATAATCCCACATATATTATCAATAATTCAACAACATCTAATATTTAAAACTAGATTATAAAGAAAAATACATCAATGAATATAATTAATATGCGAGATGAATAGCACAAAAAAAAAAAAAAATGTTTGAATTGTGCTGGGAAAAAATTGAAAATAGTAAAAAAAATAAGTTAAATGTATTATTATACTTTTGAAGCTCTTAAACTAATAAATTTAAATTATGTATATGGAGATAGTAATTATAAGGCATGAGAGATAATGAACCAATTATGATGATTCATTCAATTATAAGTAAATAATTAACTTGAAAATATCCCTTAAAGTTTTAACATTTACTGTAAATTTTCTAAAATATTAATTTTTGGATTCTGAAAGTATTACCTGAATTTAACGAAAGCAACAATAACTAAAATAACAATAAAATCGTTTGATAAGTACAATACAGAAAAGCTAAACTTTAATGAGTATCATAAATTATTTAGAAATCAGTTCATAAATGTAAGTTCATGGACGGTTCGCGCCACAGACACAGTTTCCTCTAAATTTAGCAGTAACAGAAGGTAAAAATGTATGTTGGCACTCTGTATATAACAATTATCTCTTACTTGTAGTAGAGAAGGCAAACCCAAGCTGTTCCCATTCTTCTCTTCCTTTTCTTTTACAAAGAGAGTCCTTTATCTTTCTTGTCTTCAGTTGAGTTCTTCTCTGTGTGTGCAGTACTCTGAGCTGGTGTGTCAACAGCTGGATGTCTTTCACCTTTGTTGTAAATTTTTGGAGCTTCTATGGTTCTTCCTGTGCGAATTGTTTCAATCTTTACCCATTAGAAATTTAATGCTGGGTTTGTGTACAAGTAAGAAAAGTTCTTTCTTTGAGGTTGTGTAGTGGTGAATGTGCTAAAGCTCTAAGCTTTAAGGGGTTGATTTGAATACAATTGTCGATTCCTAGGGCTAATTTTGTTATTGTAATTTTTTGTTTGATGATACAGAGGATTCAGTGTTACATGAGCTGGAAAATCAATGGATGTACAAAATTGTTGGACATCATGCGAGTTAGCATCGCAACCTGCAGTTGTTGCAATAGCTATCAAGGGAAATGGCAAAAGCAAGTGCGTGGGTGGATGGGCATTGGAAAAGTTCATTCCTAAGGGAATCACTAGGTTTCAGTTGTTGAATGTCCGCCCGAGGATTACCGCAGCCCCTACTGAAAGTAGCTTTATGTCTTCTTGTGAAATTACTCTTAAGGGAAAAACTGGATTTTTTTTTTTATCTTAAATACTACATCTGCTTAATTATGTATGCATAAAGCAAATTAAACTGTTCCAATCACTAATGGGATATCAACTTCAACAAAATATATGAAGCTTTACATGTAATCTTTCCTTCAACAATATGTATTTAAGTTAACATTTGAACCATCTGACATTGTTGTCCTTCCCACGCAAAACTTCATTCGATTTGCACAAGTACGAGATCAGGTGATAGGTAATTATAATCAAGAAGTGGGGGAAAAATGTTCTGCGCCTTACAAAGAAAGTGTGCTCAGAAAGGTAATTTTGCTTTTTGAATCTTGATCTTGTTCTTGTACGAGTCCTGAGGAAGTAGAAATTAATTTGCTGAATTCAAAACGTAGGCACAAGGAGAAAAAAAGTAATTGAAAGGATGATGTGGCAAAAGCAATTGCGAGGAGATTGCAAACTGCAATATAAGAAACTTGTTATAGGTGCTGCATCTTACAGCCTCTTTTCAAGGTATTTATCAAACATAATGGTGGAAAATTCTTAGTGCTTTACTACTTTAAATTTAGTTACATCTATCAACACTTTGATGGTTGCAGTAACCATTTATGTGTTTGAGCATCATTACTAAGTATCACCATGCACTTTATGCATTTTATTCATTTTCTACTTGCATTAGATTTTGTCATCAACAGATAATTTCTGCAGGAAACTAATAAAAATAAATATCCACAAGAATCCAGTGAGTACTCCAAGCTTTTGTACAGTCTATGCTGTTTTGAAAGGGCATTGTCATCCATCCGCCCATCTCAGTTAGGCACAAGTGAAGCATTAAAGACAATAGTAGTGACGCTACTGGCTTTAAAAATAGTTCATCTAGTTCCACTTCCAACTCAGAAACAGGTATTCTACTTCACGCCTGGGCTACATCTGTTTATTGCTGAAGATGCATGTCTCTTTTAGGAACAAGATTTATCAAGCCTTGGCACAAAACTTATAATACCATTTCATTCACCAAGTCCTTTTTTTAATTTATCAGAAACAATGTGACTAAAACATGGGAATTGAACATTAGAATCTTAGTTTTCACTCTGATATATTTCTGCAGGAGCTGTTTAAGTTATTAAAGGTTCTAACACTTTTTTTTTTTTTTTTTTTGGCTTCTGTTTTATGGGAAGTGCAGATCTTGGCTCAGTTTCTTCATCCGGTCATTATTTTCTTCTGCCCCGCCAAAGGTGCCTTTCAGGGTCTTTCAGCCAAACCTACTTCAGTCAAGACTAAATCACCAAAACAGGTTCATTCACGATGCCACTCTTGGATATCGAGGAGAGAAGGATTCTATGATTCTGGTGACAGTGGGCAGACAGTCAGACGAAGTTCGAGTTACAGGAGGATTCATTTTCTAACAGATAGCCACAATCAGTCTGAACTAGTTTCCCCCTCAAATGTACAGATGACTATTCTTCCTCTGCAAGCCAGGTAGCTTTCCAATTTCTTTGGACTTACATAATCTGGTGAAATCAGTGGATTTCATTTCTTTCATGTTGACATTTCTCATAAGCGCTTTTCAGAATAATCGACTGGGTAGTTAACTTGTGCTGTACATTTCTAATTTGTTCTAGTAAAAAGTTTTGTGTGTGACTTGCTTCGTTATAATGAAATACATGGTAGTTCAATCTTTTCTCTGAAGATTGGCATGCAAAAATAGTTTCGCTGAATTATCATAATCTTTAGATTACTTGAAGCCATTTACAAACCAGAATTGACCAAAACACATTTTTATATCTTTGAAAAAATAACATATACGATGAAGAAAGCCAAGATTGGTAAATGATCATTGTGTTATCGTTCAGTTCAATAAACAGAGTTCAGTAAGACATCTATATCCATCCCAGAAATGATTTTTCTGTTATCACATTTGCAGGTAAGCGCTAAGTGGGAGCTTGAAAAGCTGAAAATTGAACTTGGATATATCCAAGGAATGCACAAAATGGTTCAGAGTGAGGAACTTGAAGCTTCTCAACAGGTTAGTCTGGCCTCGTCTATGCAAGAGTTAATTTGTAACTCCTTTTTCATTATTTATTCTGCAAGCCGAATGTTGAATGCAATTTTTTCAGGATTTTATATTGAATCTGATTCTCACAATGGTGATTTATATGCTATCTTAATTATCCATAGTAGATCCTTGCTCCTGCCATCTTAGTATGGAAAACCTAGTGTCCATACACTAGATGTTCAGTCTAATTGCAATGAGAACACTGGCCACGTTCAAATAGATGCTTAGCCAAATAATCTTTTTGTTATTCTTTTTTTTTTTTTTTTCCTTTACAATTCAAAAATTCTTAATTTATAGAATTTTGGCTATATTGACAGAATATATTTCTGAAGTCAGAAATTTCTTCTCCTTTAAGTCAATATTCACCTTAAACTGAGAAAACTCACAATAACGTATGGGTACTATAATTTAACGTGCATTACTCATTTGCTAACCAAGACTCATTCTGGTAATTCCCAGTAATATCAAAAAGACTTTTATGAATAATTTCCCGATTATTCGTTGCTGAACTTCATAGTAATTTTAACTGTACCTGACATACTTGTCATTTGTAATCTTTATTGTTGCATTCAATGTTTATCTTGCATGTCACTAAATTCATTGGGGGCAGTTCTTTGCCCCAGCTTTTCATAAATAATAATCTATTACATCCTTTGCCTTTTCCTCAGCTGAAAAATCTTAATGATCATCAACTAGACGTGGCAGCAATGCTCCAAGAGAAAAACCAACAAGGTGTAGAATCAGCTAGACAAGAGAAAAGTAAAATTGAAGCTGCAAGAAGGGAAGCCAACAATGTTAGGAAAAGGGCTGAAAGTGAAGCTTCACCAAGACAAGAAGACTTGGAAGCTGCACCTGATGCCAAAGAAAAAGAAAAGCTTGAGAATGCTCTTCAGTTTCCTGAGCAGCAATACCATAGGTTTACATGGGAAGAGATTGAGACTGCCACCTCATCGTTTTCAGAAAACCTTTAGATTGGAATGGGAGCATATGGAACTGTTTATAAGTGCAATTTGCATCATACAATTGCAGCAGTTAAAGTTCTCCGGGCCAAAGGGATCCATGAAACTAAGCATTTCCAGAAGGAGGTATGAAAGTTCTTTTTATAAAACATATACAATAACTTATTTACGGTCAAAGAAAAGTGGATGCTGAGATGCCTTGTAAAACCTCCTTTATTTGGCTGTCGAAGTAAGTAAAGCTCTTTGAGCTTCAATCACAATGTCTATTTTCTCATTCCATTACTAAGTTTCATGATTTCTGCTCTTCCAATTTGAAAGATGAACCAATTAATTTTAAATCTATTGACTCGAATAATGTCATCAGGATTTATAACTAGGGAAAAGTATGTAACCATATGATGCATTTAGTACTGGCTTTTAATTAGCTTTGTCATTCTTTAAAGATCACTTGGTTTTTGGTTTGCAATATAAATGTCTATTTGTTTTATAGGTTTTTCAATGGATCTTATTGAATAAACCTCGATAATAAAAAAAATATAAATGTACATCTTATAACCTAAAAATCAATTAGCACTTGGAATTCATATTAAAGTTTAAGATACAATCTTTTGCGCCTTTCTATTGTGCGGTTATTTTCATAAGACGGTATGTATGATTAAAAGCCAGCTTCTCCCTCCCAAGATTTTGGTTAAAATCTAATCTTTTATTTTGTCGATTCTCAGCTTGAAATCTTGAGCAAAATTCACCATCCACATTTGCTTCTTCTTCTTGGTGCTTGTCCGGATCATGGTGTCCTTGTTTATGAGTACATGGAGATTGGTAGCTTGGAGGATAGGTTATATCGAAGGAACAATACACCTCCCATCCCATGGTATGACAGGTTCCAGATAGCTTGGGAAGTAGCCTCAGCTCTTGTTTTTCTTCACAACTCAAAGCCAAAACCAATTATCCATTGTGATCTAAAGCCGGCGAACATCTTGCTCGACCGTAACTTCGTGAGCAAGATCGGTGATGTTGGCCTCTCAACAATGCTGAGTTCAGACCCTTCCCATGTATCCTCTACATACAAAGAGACAGGACCTGTTGGGACATTCTGCTATATAGATCCTGAATATCAAAGAACAGGTCTAATTTCTCCGAAATCTGATGTTTATGCTTTTGGAATGGTAATTTTACAACTGCTAACAGCAAAGGAACCAATAGCACTAGCTCATATAGTAGAAACTGCAGTAAATAGGGATAAATTAGTAGATATTCTAGATTCACATGCTGGAAATTGGCCAATCAATGAGACTAAGGAGCTAGCTACTTTGGGACTAAGCTGTGCACAGCTTCGACGAAAGGATAGACCTGATTTAAAAGATCAAGTCTTTCCTACACTGAAGAGATTGAAGGAAGTTGCTGATAAAGCCCGTTGTTCAGCTTCAAAATTTCCCTGCGTAGCTCCAGACCACTTCATTTGCCCACTACTTAAGGTATGCCTAAATTGTTTTTTTGAATGCCTTTCTGAGCTTAATTATGCGTACTTCATATCAACTTTCAATGGTGACTTATTTGCTACTTTTATAGGATGTAATGAACGACCCTTGCGTGGCTGCGGATGGTTACTCTTATGATCGAAAAGCTATGGAGGAATGGCTTCGAAACGATGATGAATCACCCATCACTCATTTGCCTTTGTCAAACAAGAATTTGTTACCAAATTACTCACTTCTTTCAGCTATTGAGGAATGGAAGTCTAAACATTCGCAGTTTCAGGCAATGTGTCTTCAGTAGCAGATTTTGGGTCCTCCTTTTGGGCCACTATTCAATTTAATATGGGCTCAGTATAGGCACATTTGGACTGGGACTGCTAAAACTAAATTCACACCAAATTTATTATTATTATTATTTTTTAATAAGTGAGGTGTCCGTTCAGTTTATGCGACCTGAAACTACCGATAGGGTAAGAGTTTTAGTGACTACCGTCATTAGTAACTAATGAGAGACTCAAATTTAAGACCTCTTGAGTAACACCCTAAAATCTTTATCAAAACACTCGTGGCCATGTTTGGCTTATTATTTTTATCCCTATTTCCAATCCTATTTTCCAAATAATGTTTGGCACATTATTCCAGAAATATTACCTTATTTTTTTAATTACTTTTAGACCCCATAAGGTTATTAATTTCATCAAATACACCTTGAAAAAAAGTTTAAAAATTATCAAAAACACCCCCGTGACCCATACTTGCCAGATTCCGACAACCATCGTCGGTGGTAGTCGGAATCTGTACAACGGCCTACCTGCCGACCATAAATGGTCGGAAGTTCATCGATCTGGCATTTTCTGGCCAGATCCACCACGAATCTGGCCGTGAACGACGGCCAAATCTTGGCCATCGTTGACCGAAAACGACAGCCATATCTTTGGCCGTTGTTTTGGCCTTTTTCGACAGTCGACGGCCACTGCAGGCCATAGATCTTGCCTTTTTCGGTCAGATCCGTGGTGGATCTGGCCGGAAAAGGCTATAACGACGCGTTAAGATACAGATCTGACAGGTTTGTGTCGTAACGCGATTTTCCGGCCAGATTCCGGCGGTGGTGGCCGAAATCTGACACTGCAGGTGGTGGGGGGTATTTTTGTCATTTTACATGTTGGGGTATTTATTAAATTAGCAAACTTAGGGGGTTTTTTATAAATTTTTAAATTTTACCTCGTAATATTCCTATATTCAATTATCTAATACTATCCCCAAAATCCTATCCAAAATAATAAACCAAACGCACCCTTTGATTTTGTCATGTACTATTTGGGGCATATTATATTGATAGTTTAATCAGGTAATTTAATTAAATAATTGTCCACATGTAAAGCATGCTTCAATATTGAATCCTCCAAATCAATTGGATTATATTTACTTAATTATATTAAATTAGGTTTTGAATAATCCTATCTTTTAGCATGTTTATATTTTACTTTAAACATAGATTTATTTAAATTTGAAATATCTTTTTACCATGTGATGTGATCATCTTATTTATGCCCCGTCCATAACTCATTAAATTTTATGTTTCTTTAAATAAAAATAATTTGCAGATTTAGACAATAAAGTAATAAACTGTCTCCCTATGTGCACAACTTCCAACGGCCATTAAACAGTACAGATTAAACGGGTCCCGTTTGCTACATCATTCGCACTTCATCACCCACTCAGATCTCTCCACGTGGCTAAAAAGACCGCTGGGTCCACCTAACTATGAAACCAACCAATCAGCCAGCCCCATCCGATCTTTCCCTCCAAACAAAATCAGAGCAAACCCTAACGAAACCCTGACGTTCGGCAGGACGAATTTCCGAGTTACAGGAGGATTCATTTTCTCAGATAGCCACAATCAGTCTGAACTAGTTTCCCCCTCAAATGTACAGATTGACTATTCTTCCTCTGCAGCCAGGTAGCTTTCCAATTTCTTTGGACTTACATAATCTGGTGGAATCAGTGGATTTCTATTTCTTTCATGATTGACATTTCTCATAAGCTGCTTTTCAGAATAATCGACTGCTGGTGTTAACTTGTGCTGTACATTTCTAATTTGTCTAGTAAAAGATTTTTGTGTGTGACATTGCTTGTCTATAATGAAATTACATGGTAGTTCAATCTTTCTCTGAAGAATTGGCATGCAAAAATAGTTTCTGCTGAATATCATAATCTTTAGATTTACTTGAAGCCATTTACAACCAGAATTGACCAAAACACATTTTTATATCTTTGAAAAAATAACATATACGATGAAGAAAGCCAAGATTGGTATGATCATTGTGTTATCGTTCAGTTCAATAAACAGAGTTCGTAAGACATCTATATCCATCCCAGAAATGATTTTTCTGTTATCACATTTGCAGGTAAGCGCTAAGTGGGAGCTTGAAAAGCTGAAAATTGACTGGATATATCCAAGAATGCACAAAATGGTTCAGAGTGAGGAACTTGAAGCTTCTCAACAGGTTAGTCTGGCCTCGTCTATGCAAGATTTAATTTGTAACTCCTTTTTCATTATTTATTCTGCAAGCCGAATGTTGAATGCAATTTTTTCAGGATTTTATATTGAATCTGATCTCACAATGGTGATTTATATGCTATCTTAATTATCCATATAGATCCTTGCTCGCCATCTTAGTATGGAAAACCTAGTGTCCATACACTGATGTTCAGTATAATTCAATGAGACACTGGCCACGTTCAAATAATGCTGCCAAATAATCTTTTTGTTATTCTTTTTTTTTTTTTTTTTTTCCTTACAATTCAAAAATTCTTAATTATAGTTTTGGCGATATTGACAGAATATATTTCTGAACAGAAATTTCTTCTCCTTTAAGTCAATATTCACCTTAAACTGAGAAACTCACAAACGTATGGGTACTATAATTTAACGTGCATTACTCATTTGCTAACCAAGACTCATTCTGGTAATTCCCAGTAATATCAAAAGACTTTTATGAATAATTTCCCGATTATTCGTTGCTGAACTTCATAGTAATTTAACTGTACCTGAATACTTGTCATTGTAATCTTATTGTTGCATTCATGTTTATCTTGCATGTCACTAATTCATTGGGGGCAGTTCTTGCCCCAGCTTTTCATAATAATATCTATTACATCCTTTGCCTTTTCCTCAGCTGAAAAATCTAATGATCATCACCTAGACGTGGCAGCAATGCTCAAGAGAAAAACAACAAGGTGTAAATCAGCTAGACAAGAGAAGTAAAATTGAAGCTGCAAGAAGGGAAGCCAACAATGTTGAAAGGGCTGAAGGTGAACTTCACCAAGACAGAAGACTTGGAAGCTGCCACCTGATGCCAAAGAAAAGAAAAGCTTGAGAATGCTCTTCAGTTTCCTGAGCAGCAATACCTAGGTTTACATGGGAAGAGATTGAGACTGCCACCTCATCGTTTTCAGAAAACCTTGAGATTGGAATGGGGCATATGGAACTGTTTATAAGTGCAATTTGCATCATACAATTGCAGCAGTTAAAGTTCTCCGGGCCAAAGGGATCATGAAACTAGCATTTCCAAAGGAGGTTGAAAGTTTTTTTAATAAACATATACAATAACTTTTTACGTCAAAGAAAAGTGGATGCTGAGATGCCTTGTAAAACCTCCTTTATTTGGCTGTCGAAGTGTAAAGCTCTTGAGCTTCAATCACAATGTCTATTTTCTCATTCCATTACTAAGTTTCATATTTCTGCTCTTCCAGTTGAAAGATGAACCAATTAATTTTAAATCTATTGACTCGAATAATGTCATCAGGATTTATAACTAGGGAAAGTATGTAACCATATGATGCATTTAGTACTGCTTTTAATTAGCTTTCCCATTCTTTAAAGATCACTTGGTTTTTGATTTGCAATATAAATATCTATTGGTTTATAGGTTTCAATGGACCTTAGAGAATAAACCTCGATAATAAAAAAATATAAATTACATCTTATAACCTAAAAATCAATTACACTTGGATTCATATTAAAGTTTAGATACAATCTTTTGCGCCTTTCTATTGTGCGGTTATTTTCATAAGACGGTATGTATGATTAAAAGCCAGCTTCTCCTCCCAAGATTTTGGTTAAAATCTAATCTTTTTTTTGTCGATTCTCAGCTTGAAATCTTGAGCAAAATGCACCATCCACATTTGCTTCTCCTTCTTGGCTGTGTCCGGATCATGGTGTCCTTGTTTATGAGTACATGGAGATTGGTAGCTTTGGAGATAGGGTTCTTGGAGATAGTAATTATAAGGCATGAGAGATAATGAACCAATTTATGATGATTTCATTCAATTATAAGTAAATAATTAACTTGAAAATATCCCTTAAAGTTTTAACATTTACTGTAAATTTTCTAAAATATTAATTTTTGGATTCTGAAAGTATTACCTGAATTTAACGAACTGCAACAATAACTAAAATTAACAAATAAAATCTGTTTGATAAGTACAATACAAGAAAAGCTAAACTTTTAATGAGTAATCATAAATTATTTAGAAAATCAGTTCATAAATGTAAGTTTCATGGACGGTTCGCGCCACAGACACAGTTTCCTCTAAATTTAGCAGTAACAGAAGGTAAAAATGTATGTTGGCACTCTGTATATAACCAATTATCTTCTTCTACTTGTAGTAGAGAAGGCAAAACCCAAGTTGTTTCCCATTCTTCTCTTCCTTTTCTGTTGCAAAGAGAGTCCTTTATCTTTTCTTTCTTCTTCAGTTGAGTGTGCCAGTACTCTGAGCTTGGTGGTGTCAACAGCTGGTATGTCTTAGTTTCACCTTTTGTTTGTAAATTTTTGGGGCTTCTTTGGTTCTTCTAGTTATTTCCTGTGCGAATTGTTTCATAATCTTTACCCTTTCAGAAATTTAAATGCTGGCGTTTGTGTACAAGTTAGAAAAATTCTTTCTTTGAGGTTGTGTAGTGGTTGAATGTGCTAAAGCTCTAAGCTTTAAGGGGTTGATTTGAATACAATTTGTCGATTCCTGGGGCTAATTTTGTTATGGTAAATTTTTTGTTTGATGATACAGAGGATTCAGTGTTACATAAGCTGGAAAATCAATGGATGTACAAGAAATTGTTGGACCATCATGCGAGTTAGCATCGCAACCTGCAGTTGTTGCAATAGCTATCAAGGGAAATGGCAAAAGCAAGTGCGTTGTGGCATGGGCATTGGAAAAGTTCATTCCTAAGGGAATCACTAGGTTTCAGTTGTTGAATGTCCGCCCGAGGATTACCGCAGCCCCTACTGAAAGTAAGCTTTATGTCTTTCTTGTGATAATTATTCTTAAGAGAAAAACTGGATTTTTTTTTTTTATCTTAAATACTTCATCTTCATCTGCTTAATTAT